TATTGTTATTGTTTGTTTTTTTTTTATTTAAATTTTGTATTAATACATTTATTTATTGAGATGCGAGCTCTTTTCTTTTTTGAGGAAAACCTTTTGTTTTTTGCACACCTTTTGCTTGAAGGAAAAGTTGGGTAGTTAGGCTACATGATGTTGAATTAATAAATCAACCATAACTTTTAATGTAATAAGTTAAATAAATCCCTACCCAGACAGCAAACTGACATTGAATCAACGTGGAAACGACGTCTCTCATGACATTGAAACAACGTTGATTTTGCTCATCGAATTAACGTTGAACCAACGTCAGACGCGGCATTCTTCAAAGCTAAATGAAAATCGAAAATTGGTTTGCTTTCATAACGTTGAAACAACGCGTTGATTTCAAGGTGATTTCCCGTTAGTTTTGAAAGAATGACGCGTCTGACGTTGGTTCAACGTTAATTCGATGAGCAAAACAATGTCAGATCAACGTTGTTTCGATGTCATATTTCCACGTTGATTCAATGTCAGTTTGCTATCTGGGTAAGAATTAACTGTCTGTAGGCTATTTAGTTCCAGTGAAGTTTTAATGTTTTTAACGGGTCGATTATGCTTCACAATGGAATCACAAAAGACCGATGTAGAACATGCAGTGTGTGAGGAACACTTAAAGGTAATTTACATTCAAAGCAAAACCTGGAACTTCGTGTTGGTGATTTCGGGTAAATGTGTTATAACCAACTGACGACATCCAGAAAGTAAGACGTGATATTTACGTTTTAAGAACGTTGCATTAACAACGTTAAAAACAACTTTTTTATGACTTTATGAAACGTTGTAAAAAAACCGTATAACGTGAAAAAACTCCGACATCTGTCGTATTAAATACGTCGGATAAAAACGTTATCACAACCTTTTCACGGCGTGAAAAAAACGTTTTTGAAACGTTTTTGTGTTTGCTGGGATGCAAGTGGCTAAACTAAACAGCTGTTTTACGATAGAAGTTTTAAACGACCGACATTAATAATCAGATTGCAAAGACTATCAATCAAAGCTCAACTTCGGGAAGGGGAGATTTACAGGTAAAGATAAAGAGACTGAGAGAAGAAGAACGAGAGAAGGAGAAGCAGGAAGAGCAATTGCCTTTTGCATACTGTCTGTGCCCAGAATGAGAATAACTTTATTACAATGGATTCCTATTTAAAGAGTAGCTAAACACTTAACCAACTTTTTTCAGTTAATGATCTGTAAGAATGGATCTTTATTAATACCAGTCATTGAATCGAGTAACTTTTTTGGCATTTGTTTATAAAGTGTTCTATTTCTACAATATGGTGTAAAAACGTCTTAGTGCTGCCCTCTTCAGGTTGAACGGTGGCTACTGCAGTTGAATTTTCCTATTGGATGTTTGCGGTGGTACGTGACACGGTTGTTGGTGACATTGGCACGTTTCATACAAAGAGATGCGTCTCAGGTGCACACCCCCTCCGCTGGGCTCTGCCCACTTTTACAGCATTTTTCAAGTATTGCCAGTGGGTGGAGTCAGGCTCTGACCAGGGTTTTAGTTACCCTTTAACACAGATGTGAGGTCACTGAGGTTCGGACCTCGGTCATTTTTTTACAATCAAAAATAAAATTTCATGCTCTTTGAATGATTAATTAGGCATGTTTAAACCACCTCACATGAGTGTTTCCAATTCATGTTGCTGTGAGAAGCTAGCACAGTGAACAGCGCATTGTGAATGAGAGCGCGAGTGCAGCACCGTGTTGCCAAATCCACCTAATGGGAAGGTGCAGTAATCTCCTGGACCTGTTTTTCCGATTTAACGTGACACAAAGTTATTAAAGTGGAAATTTGCATGTTAGGGTTAGTGATATATTAATCTTATTTCCAAAACACAAGCTATTAACTAATTTCAGATTATTATTATTTAGTTTTGCTTGTTTTTCGCAGCAATATCTGGCAACACTTTACTGTCAGCGTTAATAAAAAATAAAAAAAAAGCTTATAGACAAACTGTAATTGCATAAAGCTACCACATTCGGTAAGACAAACGCAATGATCATCGTGGTTTTCTGTAAGAAATGTAGGCTATAACACTATCAAAAACAATAGCATTATACAGATCTGTATGTTACAGAATGAAATTTGCCAAATAACCTTACTGGCCAGCTGCAGAGGCTCATGCTGTTTAGTTAACATTTCACAAAGTCATTATAAATACAATAATTAAAGCACGTGTTTCTCAGCTAGCAATCTATTCAGCCAGAATATTTGTGTTTATTTTGTGTCACTTGCAGAAATATAAGACTTTGCTAGACTTTTGCACTGAATAGAAAATAATATTTTTGAAAAATACAATGAATTACAAGGCTGTACAGAACACTATTGCTTATATACTGAGGTTTTAATTACATTATTTTAATATAGTCAGTCGGGAACTAAAGTGGGTCCGTCTAAGGCATGAAACTCCAGGGCTGAAAATGAGTCCCACTCCGGCCCTGCCCACAGCTCTGCACAGTTTGTACATCTCCCTCATTTAACACACCTGATTCAGATCATCATCTTTTTAAGAAAGAACTGAACTGGGTGTGTCAGATAAAGAAGACATATAATGCCGAGTTCAGATTGCATGATTTTAGCCATGATTTTGGCTCGCCGACAGGTTTTGAGAAATCGCCGACAAATGACCGAAATCACAGGCAAATCGGCGCTCGTTCACGCAAATGACAATCACGCAGTGTGAATGAGCAAAGACGCGAACTGAGAGAATCACCGACGAGTCGCCGACACCCGTGAGATATTTGGCATGCTAAATATCTGGACCTGTCGGCGATTCAAAATCCTGCTGTGTGAAAAGTGTTTTGACTGAAAACTACATCGGCGATCACCGGCAGCCAGTGAGAGAGCAAGATACAGAGCAGCAGGGAGTTCGGGGAGGAGTTATAGATCACATATCAACATGATATATGGCATTGTTTCAGAAAAAAAGCTTTTTCTCTGTCTATTTGGACACAATAAATGGAAGAAAAATTAGTAGAAATTTGGCAGGAGCACCCGTGTCTGTTTGACGTTTCACCAGCTGTACCACAACCGGGTCGGGAAAAAAAAGTCTCACGTGAGAACTCCGGTCTTGCACGTGTGGTGTCGCATTGTTTCCTTTTCACATCTCACTTGTGTTTGTTGTGGAACGTAGTTTGCGCGCAGCGTGCTAGACAGTCTGTCGGCGATTTTTCCTATTGTAAAGTCATGCAGTGTGAAACCTTCTGTCACCGATCAATCGTCCAGTGTGAACACAGCAGTGACTGAATGCTGGCCAAGATAGTCATGCAGTGTGAAAAGAACATGCGAACCGACTACTTTGAAAATCATGCAGTCTGAACTCGGCATAAAATGTGCAGAGCTGTGGATCCACAGGACCAGGAATGGGAACCACTGTTGTAGAGGGTTAAAAAGCTGTAGGTCAGCTTAAATTCAATGGATTTTTTTACTAACATGACAGTTTGTATGTAAATTAAGTTTTATTTGTATTGTTGAGCTAATTATTCACTGAATAGCCCTAAGGCTCAGATTTTTACTGAAGGCGTTATGTCAGATGCCTTCTCGCTCTTCAGGGGATGTAGGCAGGGATGCCTGAGCTTACCTGTATTTTTTTCTAATGCCATAGAGCCGCTGACTATTGCCATTCGTCAATTACCTGTTAATAAATCCCTCAATTAATGGCATAACATTTGGCACAGATGAGCTTAAACTATCTCTGTATGCAGATGATCTCTTATTATTTCTATCTAGTTCCCGCTACCAAACTAAAATGGATCTTCACCAGTGGATGGACCCCGCTGTCATAAATTGGTAGAATCAATACAATAAAAATTAATCTACTGCCCAAATTCATTTACTTATTTCATTGTATCCCATTTAAAATCCCTAAATAGTTTTTCAAGGACCTCAAAAAAACTATTTCCAAATTTTTCTGGCATAAGAAAACCCCAAGGGTTAACCTAGCCCGATATGCTAAAGGTGGGCTAAATCTCCCAAATTTCAGACTTTATTGTCTAGCTTCTCAGTACCGCCCACTATGGATTTGGCTGTATACAAAGAACTGTGACATGAGATGGGTCTCAATAGAACAGCATGAAATCAAACCACTCCGATAACAATTATTCAATTTCTGGTCACAGGGAAGAAACTTTCTCTGATAAAAAAAACAAAACAGTTCTTCTGGATTCTTTTGGTGCTTGGCAGGGATCACATACTCCTCTTGATGATAATCCTAATATCCCAAGTCCTATTGCTGACAGAATTCGAAAAACCTGGAATAAGAAAGTAATCAAGATGATTGGTGACCTTTTTGTTAATGTTATATTTTCTAGCTTCCTTCAATTATCTGAATTATTCAACTTGTCTAAGCATAACCTTTTTAAATATTTACAAATAAGACACTGCAAGGCAGTCATCGGAATCATTTCCTAATATACGTGAAAAATTGGAGCTGTCCAATCCTGGTCTCACAGTCTTCGTCTGCACCATTCTGTCTTCGTCATATTCACTACACTTCCCAGCATCCTCTTGTCTCCACACCTGAACTCACTCCCTCAATCATCAACCTGTTCATCGTTTTCATCATCTGTGTCACCTGTCTTCACCTTGTTATGTTTGATTCATGCTTGTATTTAGTTTGCTTCTGTTCAGTCTGTCCTTGTCGGTCGTTGTTAATGTTACCATGTTTTTGTGTGTGTACCCGTTGCCTGCCTGAACCTGTTTGTTTTATTTTTGAGTAAATCTTTATCTACACCACACCCGTGACACCTGGAGGATTTTTGGAAGTATAAATAAATAAATACATTTTACAAAAAATACTTATAACTGAATTAAAATCTGAAAATGTTAGCATATCACTTATTTGTTTATGAATGTATATTCATTTTTTGTAAATTATTATTTCATCATTAACTAATAACTTAAATGACTCATAACTGAACCTTATTATTAAGTGTTACCCTGTCTTTCTCTTACGCAGGCATGGTTCGTGTACTAGTTACCAAACCTGTAATATCCTACTGCCACCAGGCCATCACTCTGCACTGCAATGTATCTCTATCTGATGGAAAGGGCCGTGAATTCCAGGTTACTCATCTAAGTTGGATTAAAGAATCAAATAAAACAATATGCTCGGAAAGCAATACAGCAATCAGTGGTTTCTTCAGCTGCCAATATATGGCAAACAAACAGCTGGTACTAACTATTGCCTACCCAAAACCAGATGACATTGGACGCTATGTCTGCAAACTGCGATCCTCTCATGGACATACAAATGCTGATACCAATGTGACACTGGGTATGTAGGCTGAAATTTTATGATAGGGAGTGAAGAATTAACTTATTGATTCCTTCAACAAATCCTTCATCACGAAATCAGACTGTTCTAAGAAAATGATGGTGTACTGTATGTCTATGTACAATTGACAAAATCATTTCTTATTAATTTTATTATTTATATTTATTAGATTTTCTTCAGAGCTATGGGCAAATTTTAGCCAGCCCTTGTTAACTTTATGTCATTCAAGATGCATTTTAGCATCACAAGTCAACATTAATCAAATTACCTTTCTTTTCTCAGAGTGTCCTCAGATAATTGTCCAGATACATGAAGATGGGAACAGTGTGACATGCAAGGTTGAGAGGTCAAACCATGATGGGTGCATCCACTGGTTTCATGGAACAGTCAATCTAACAAGTCAATCAACTCAGGACATTTATTCTGCTGTTGATGGATCATATACAGTGATTAGTTCTCTCAATGTCAGTTCAAACTGGAAAACGTACAACTGTTCATACTGGGTTCCTCAAATTGAGCAATATATAGCAAGCAAGAACATTGTTATGAAACATACAAAATCTAACACACAGTCTTTCAATAGTGGCAGAAGGCCTGATCTGGTCTTCTGTTTGTGTCTCCTCTGGATGCTTATTCAGCAATAATGGCAGCAATAACTGCAAAAAGCTAATTTTGAACTTTACCAATTATATGTTAAAAGATTTGGTCTGCCTAGTCACAATGAGGGTAATAACCTGTGGATAATCTGAAAGAGAATCTTTAAGTGGCTTGGGCTAGGAAATAAATCCAATTACATCATATAAAAAGAGCATGTATTGATACAAAGATAAAGCAACTATTAAATGAATTTGAATAACATTACAAACTAATGTAAATATTAATGAAAGTTGGTCTGGGCAATGTAACGAGTACAAAAACTCATCCCAAGTCTCAACAATATTAACAGCCGGCCTACACCCTACTTTTATTTTTAGCTTCCCTTTATGGAGAAAGAACCTTAAGCCAGTGCGTTCAAAATGTGATTCAATGTAGTTACAAGTGTCCGCTATTAAATCACATATTTCAGCTTGTTTCCACTGAGCGCAAACAAGTTCCATCAGCAGATTTACTGGACTTGTGTCCTCGGGAGTCATTCTCCTGAGTCAGACTTTGCATAGGCTACTTGGTATTGAGAAACGCCGAATGTTTCAGCGCTTGTTTCTTGTGACAAACATGCCGAGAAGCAAGAACAAGATCTGCTGTATGTCATCCATTGTTGTTTACTATGTCGCTTTCTTCACGCGAAAATGCCGTTGACCGCTTCTTTCCGGCAAACACCACACCTATCAACTAAGGGTACCGTTGGCAGTGGAAACGCAAGCCGGATCATGGTTTGAACCGTTCTGTACTGTACCGTACCGCTCAGTGGAAACGAGCCATTTGTTAACTTTGCAGCACAAACAGAAAATGCATGGTTTAGTTTCAAACAAGAGGAGTGAAATGTTACAATTCACTTTGTCGTGCAGTGCAGAGTTTCCGCTAGAAAAAAATGGTTTAGTTTAACGGACATTTTTATGATATGCCGGTCAAATGTCGCCTCTTAATAGTCAAGTTGAGGAAAACTGGAGGCAGGCTATGTAACTTAAAAAAAATGACATAATCAGGTCGTATAGAATGCAACATGTTTATTAGCATAACTTTCAAATAGACGAAAAACATGAACGCCCTATTTCCCGCTCCGCTCCGCTCACATCAAGAGAAATCTCCACATCTTTTCCCGCCTGACTAAAGTTGCTTGGTTTGTATTCAGCATCCCCAAGCGAGTCTGCGAGCGCAGAGAGGGTTTTCTCTGCTGATGGAGCTTTTTTTTAAGTTTGAGACAATTTAAATTGTCATCCACGTGCTCTCTGCAAAAGTTAAGTTAGATATAGGCATCTGGTGGCCTAATAGTTAAATAATAATAAATAATTAATTTACCAAAATTTATTTAATTTAACACGTTGATGTTGATGTAAATGATTTTTATATAATTAGGCCCATTGATTCGTTTAATTTTACAGTTTTTTTGTGTTTTTTTTTTTTTGTGTGTGTACAGATGATATAGGCCTAAGCCAATTTAAAGTTTAATAGTGCGCAGATAGGCTTATCAAAATCTGGCGTAATAATTAATTAGCCTACTTTTTAACATTTATGTAGGCTTATATATATTGTTTGTTCATATATTTATTTTAGTTATATTATTAGGCCCATGTATTCGTTTAATTTTACAGCAGTTTGTGTGTACAATGGTTATAAGCCCATTTACATTTTTATCGTGTGCGTTGGGCAAAAGTTCAGTTATCAAAATTCTGGCCTATAGTTAATTTACTTTTAAAAATGTTATGTATATTTTTGTTTATATGATTTTTATTCATATTATTAGGCCCATTTATTCGTTTAATTTTACAGGACTTTTTGTGTATATGCTACATTCCTGTTCTAGTCCTAATTTGTAATTTGAAATGAAACATTTCTGTTTGGAAAATGTTGTTGTTGGTCGTTAGTTCTTTGTAAGGTAAGGCTGTGGTCTAACCCAAAAGTGAAATAAAAATACCTGCAGATTTTTTTCATTTATTGGAGCGAACGGGGGGCGATTTGAGTGGAACTCGAAGCAAACTGCGTTGAGCGCTGTATGCACAAGATGTAAACAACACTGGCCCAGAAGCACTTCCTGTCTCATTTTTTTAACACTACATAAAAGCTGGGATAAAATACAACCAACAGAACATTTAAAACTGAATAAAAAAGTTAAACAAACATCTTTAAAATGTTTTCTTTACATGTGAAATAAAGAAAACAGTTACAAACTGAAACAGGAAGTGTTTCTGGACCAGTCTTGTTTACATCTTGTGAAATGGTCTATAAACATTCTCTGTGACGCGTAAGCAGCGCCTGCAACAGTGGTTTGATTATTGATTATACGAGGTTGAACTGGCCGTGCAGAGCGGGCATAAGATGGACACGAGCGCGAGTTTGCTCATAACGCGGAGCGTTATTAACCAATTGATCCATAAGGCGCCCCGGATTATAAGGAGCACTGTCGTTTTTTGAGAAAATTTAAGGCTTTTGCCTTTTTGTGCGGAAAATACGGGTACATGCCGTCTTTTGTGAATGAAAGCCCATTGGAAGGTGACATTGATCCATCTCCCCAGGATTCCCAAACAAAATCTAGGTCTATCCCAAAGGGAAAAAATCAAAAAGGGCATAATAAAAAATGGGGGGAACCAAGTAAAGAGACACGTATGAGAGACCTGTCGGAGTTATTGGAAATAATGGACAGGATAAAAATTTAAAAGTTAATGCTGTGTTTAAAGGGTGACAAGGTTATAACCTAAAGTTAAACTATGATTCATTGAAGCTTCGATGCGTCAAGAAATGATAAGCATCTGTGAAGAAATATGATGTCTGCAAAGCAAAGGAAGCATGAGTTGTGTTTTTGTCTTTAGTGAAACTTCTACATGTGTAACCTTAAAAGCAAAACGTGAACTGCTTCTGTGCAACAGTGATGCCTTTGTGTATCTGGGGCGGCAGTGGCTCAGTGGTTCATGTGGGTTGTCTACGAACTGAAAGGTTGGTGGTTCAATCCTCGGTTCCACCTGACCAAGTGTCGAGGTGTCCATGAGCAAGACACCTAACCCCAGCTGCTCCCGACGAGCTGGATGGCGCCTTGCATGGCTGACACCGCCGTCGGTGTATGAAAGAGTGTGTGAATGGGTGAATGTGAGGCAAACTGTAAAGCGCTTTGGTGGCCATTAGGTCTATGAAGGCGCTATATAAATGCAGTCCATATGTGTTAATTTTTCTGTTTAAAAGAAAGGAGGTGAAGGAGAGATCTTTGCTCTTCCGGTAACACTTTAAAATAATGGTCAGTAGTTAACAAGTATGCAGGAAGTAATAGGTAGTACTGCATTAACACCGAACTTAATACTATTAACTAATATGGAAGCAATATTAATATAATATTAATTAATATTATATTAATATAATTAATATAATCATCTCTAAAACTTCACTACAAGTCAAGCCCTCTCTCATGTTGCTTGCTGCTCTTCTCACCATCAAATGACAAGCGTTTATATCCACTTGCTTTGTTTTTGTTTAGTCTGCATTTCTCACCATCAAAAGGCAGCAGATGCATACTGTAAATACACTTACTTTGTTTTTGTTTACTCCATGTAGTTTTGAGAGCTGAAGTGTATATTTTTATTTTCTCAGACGCATCAAGGTGAGTTCTCACACTCTCTCACACACTCACGCACACCCACACACACATATACACACTGTAATATGCTATTATACTCCATATAACTGCATGTAAAAGCCAGAAACTAAGCTTTTTTTTGCACAGGCCTGTCTAAAGGGTTAAATGGTTCCACCTGGTTATCAACAGTAAAAATTACACATTTTACCTCTTCCCAACAGGGAAAACCATCAACAATCAAAAATGCATGATTTTATGGTGTCATGGCTTTGCAATCAAAAAATGTGGTTATAATGGAAGTCAATGGGGCAAAAACAGCCACGAACAGTAAATGAGGGAGAAAAAGTTAAAATCTGATGCTACACAAAAACTAACAATGCATCAAAACCAACGTTTTTCTAATCTTTGACATGTCCAAGACTGTGATAAAAGGTGAAAAAAAAATCCAGTCCACAATCATATTTTATATTGAAAATAAGTCATTTTCTGTGTTTTTTTTTCCCAAATCAGTGACATCATTTATGAATTTGGCAATTAAAGAGTTAAAATCCTGATTTTTTTTTTAAACATTTAGTAGTTTTGATCAGGACTGAGGTCGGTTAATAGATTTATGCAAAAAAAATTGAAAAAAAATATTTATCTGATACATTTTTACAGCAGTTTAAAGTAGTGGCTTTTTTCAGCCACGAACATAACGAAAGGGTAGTGTATTTGCCCAGAGTGTACTGTTGAGTTTTTGAAAAATTTCAAAGCATTTTCCCAAAATATGTGTCAAAATAAGATTTGTCACCAAAAATCGTCTCAGGTTACGACTGTAACCTATGTTCCCTGAGAACAGGGAACGAGACAATACGTCGAATGACGCTATGGGGAACGCCTCAGGCGTGACAGGTGTCTGAAATCAAATATCAACTCACAGTAATCAGGTTGACCGGCGACAGCCCGTGCATCATCAGCTTGAATGATGAGCGCGTCAATCTGGATGTATAAGAAGGGCGCCTTGAAACCGTGACAACATCCTATCGTCTGAAGGGACTGTTGCAGGCAGGCCCCGAGGCATGGCAACGAGACGTATTGTCTCGTTCCCTGTTCTCAGGGAACATAGGTTACAGTCGTAACCTGAGACGTTCCCTTTCGAAGGGAACTCAACAATACGTCGAATGACGCTATGGGGAACGAAATACCCACTCCGCCATGCTGAGGGGAGTGCATGCCGAAAGGCAGTGACAACTGTCAGAACCAGTAATTCCAAGGAACACTGAAATCACTCACCCTATGTTACATCGGGCTGTCAGTGACAGCACTCCCTACCGGTCATAGCCCAAGCTAATGAACCAAGAAAAACCAGAACGTAATAACGTGAGTAAATCAGGGCCAGCTCAAAGGCTTTAGGACCACAACTTCAAAATAGAAGGGGTCCCTTCTAGGGAGTGTGGCTAGGGGGCCAAAGGGACCCCCAGCCAGTCACTATTCAGGAGAACACTCCTCCTGAAATGCCCCCAGGCTGGCCTGGTGATCTGTACTAAGACACACAGTCTGGCCATAGCCTGTCCGTCCAAGACAGAGCCTCTGGAAATTGCCTAGAAAAGGCATCCAAAAACTGAAGGCCCGCGAAGCTGGCGGAAACCATCGAGTTTCGGATCACAGAGACGGGATCCTCCGGAGAGTGTGACTCAACCTCGAACCAATGGGAATCGTACACTCAATCCACGAGTTTCCACCCAGTGCTCGCTTTTGAGCACTGAGGAAGTAAGAGAGGGATCAAAATCAGGAAGGTCAAAGAGACCTAAGACCTGATGACCCCATGTGTGGGGAGCTCCGATACATGAGGGCTCATGTCAGGAAGGCCGTACGTTGTGCGGCCTGAAACCCAACGACCACAGCATGTGGAAGCTCATCCTTCAGGAAAGCCAGAGGCTAGAACCTGACAGACCCACAATGTGGGGCTACCTTCGAAAAAGGTCTAATGAGACCTAAAACCACCAGTTTGTGGGAGATAGCTCGAACAAGGGAAGTGCCTGTCGTAATGTATTGCGACAAAGACACATCTAGAGTGGGACCCAAAGTGAAGAACCGGAGTCTGAACCACATAAGAAGGGACCGAAGCATACTGCGCGTGACCCTCACTATAAGAAATGGATTTTGAAAAGTGCACAAGACATCTCGTCGGGTGACTTACCACAATAATAGGTGAAGTATGGGTTTGTGTACTTCACTCTGAATTCAGGAAGGCCTGGTGAGGCCTGTAACCCAGCAACCACAATATGTGGGAGCTCATACCCAGGAAGGCCTGTTGAGGCCTGTAACCTGGCGACCACAGTGTGTGGGAGCTCATGACCAGGAAGGCCTGGTAAGGCCTGTAACCTGGCGACCACATTGGGTGGGAGCTCGTACTCAGGAAGGTCAGTGAGACCCAGCCTGGTGACCACAACCTGTGGGAGCTTACTCCACCAAGTGGAAGCTACTTCTTCCAGAAGTTAGCCAGAGAAGGGCGTCCCTGTAGCCAGTGACAGGACGCCACTTAAAGTGGGACCCAAGGGAAGACCGGGGTCTGAGCCACATAAGAAGGGACCGAAGCATACCACGCGTGACCCTTACCATACAAAATGGATTTTAGAAAGTACACAAGACATCCCGTCATGTGATTTACCACAATAATAGGTGAAGTAGGGGTTAGTGTACTTCACTCTGAATTCAGAAAGGCCGAACTTGAGGCCTGTAACCTGGCAGCCACAACAAGTGGGAACCCATAATCAGGAAGGCCTGACAAGGCCTAACACCCGATAGTCCCAATGCA